AGGCACCCCTGGCAGGAGCCGCTCAGCAGCGTCAGCGTCTGCCTCCCCTTCCGCTGCCCGCGATGCGGCGACCACAGCCGGTTCCGCAGCCTGTCCTCCCTGCGGGCGCACCTGGAGTACAGCCACAGCTACGACGAGAGAAGCCTCCTGACCAAGAGCAGCCTGTTTTCACCCCTGAAAGACGCGGAGCTGATCTCCCCGCCGGAGCCCGCCACTCAGGGTAGCCTGGGGAGCCCCGGCGGTGCCATACAGCAAAAAGGGTCCTACCTGAATTTTTGCGATGCGTCCTGCGAGAGCGGGAAGCGCGGGCAGTCTCTGGAGGTGGAAGCCGAACGGCCCGTCTCCTACGTCGCCAACTATGTGTCGGCTGACTCTCCCAGCGAGCAGATCTCCAAACCCGGCCTGCCGGCCACTGACTCCAAAGCCTCCTTCGAGGCACATGTCAGAGAAAAGTTTAACAGGATGGTAGAGGCTGTGGACAAAACAATCGAGAAGCGAATCGACAAGCTTACCAAAGAGCTGGCCCAGAAGACGGCGGAGCTGCTGGAGGTGCGGGCGGCTTTTGTGCAGCTGTCCCAGAAGAAGCAGGAGGTGCAGCGACGGGAGCGGGCCCTGAGCAGGCAGGTGGACGTGGCCGTGGAGATGATCGCAGCCTTGAAGCAGCGCCTCACCGAGTCCGAGGAGGAGCTTCACCGGAAAGAGGAGTAAGTGGGGAGGCGAGGGCTGATGGCTTGGTGCGGGCTGGCCTGCACCCTGCCTTTGGGGAGAAGGAGGGGACACAGTTCAGTGGCTTGCTGGTTGTAAAAGAGCCTGGTGCTCACCAGGGTCGGATCACTGTATTTCTGGAGTTGTAGCCCATGTGACTGTGTCTCCTGAAAGGCTGGGGACAGCTCCCCGAGCAGGTGGCTTTCATGCTTGACTCCCAGTCAACTCTCACGCTCTCTAACGCCTGTGTTGTACCCTTGGTTTCATGGGGGTAGGGACAAGTAGAAGGTGTCACCAGCACGTAATCTGATTTACGCTGACCCTCTAATCTGTTATCTTTTTAAGATGAGATGGGTGGATAAGTGCTGGAGGAAGTATGTAAGAATTCCGAACAGCACCTTTTCCCTGAAGTCATCCCACCACAGCCAGCCACAGGGCTGCCTGTGCAGTGGGACGGACTCCCGTGCAGCAGCAAAGCTGTACCAGAGACAGTGCTGAAAAGGCCACATCCAAGAAGGTGTTTTAGATGGACACAGAACTGTGAAACTGGAATTGCTTATATGGGAATGCGAAGCAGATGCCAGAGTTGTTCTGACTAACGTAGGCCATCTAAAAATATGTTCGTGATGCATCCATTAAAAATGTAGTGATAGCTGATATATTATTTATACATGAACTACTTAGTTTATTCAACACTTGCTGAGACCTTTCAGGCTTTTTAGAGCAACACAACTTATTTTAGAAGAACGCAAGTAAAGAGCTTTGGTAATGGAGTGCCTCTAAGCCAATGCATCAGCTTACAAAGGGAAGATGAGAAGTGCTAGTTGCCATGACGCTGATCTTCAGAAGGAATAAGGAAGGTGGTGTAGGAGTTCAGTGTAGGAAGTTTGGAGGGCTTTCATCATTCCTTCCTGTAGTCTAAGGACTAGAAAGAAAAGATGATGATGGCTCCTATATCAGTAGGAGTCGTCTGTCTTGAAGGAGTGCTATAGATTTCCTGGGAGAGGGTACAGCAAAGGTGGTAGGATTTGAGCCTCTGGAGTGTGTATCTTCCTTGAAGGGATAGTCAACAGAACCTCTGATTTTTTTTGAAGTATTGGGTGATCCTCATGGAAGAGAAGATTGAAGGACTCAAGGTGAAGCCAAAGATAATACTGGAACTGAGACAGATTAGAAAGTATTCTGGTAGGAGGCCATGAAGATAAGTTTCAGTTTGAAGCAGTTTTGGTATTCCTGTCTAGCCAAGCTCCCCTTATGGGCTCTTTCATCCTACTTGTTCTAGAAAAATGTCTTAGAGTGGAACCTCAGGTAAGCAGCCATCTTTGGCTAGATGTTGAACTTCAGATATCAAAAGTTAAGTGGCATGAATTTCACCCCAAACTAAATGCAGAATGTGCTTTTAAAAGTCCAGGCTTGAGATCCACAGGAAAAACATGACTGTCAGGAGAAAGCAAAAACCAGTCAGTGGAGCAAAACCAGAGTTCTGCAGTGCTGCAGAAGAAAAGAGCTTGTGGAAAAAGAAGAAGGGGGAAATGGAGCTATTGAGGTAGAAAGAACGGGTATGATACAGGGAGGACAGCAAAGGACACTGATCTGTGAAAAGAACAAGGCAGCAAAAGTTGTAAATTTATACTAGGAGAAGGCACGAGGAAGAGGCCGCTTGTCCTCTTGGCAAACTTTAGTAGCAGCAGTGGCAGGCTGTGGTTCTGAGGCCAGAAAAGATTGAACACAGAATGAGAAGTGGGAAAACACTGTCCTTCACACTAGGATGTTGCGAGGCTCAGGAATGGGGCAGGTGCTCAGATGCCTGCTGTTGTAATTCTAGCCATCAATAAAGGAGGAAGGTGTGAATGTGTAAGCAAGATGAGGAGGTAGCTCTTAAGTTGGTGTTAAGGGAAGACTGAAGGTTATTTGGCTAGTAAGAAACGCTAACCAAAAAAGGCAGCTGCACAAGAGACTTCACTAGTAAGGTACTCTGAGGAGATTGGGACGGTAGGCAGGGTGTAAAATTAGGTAGAGTTCACCTAGGAAAAAATGTTATTTTTGTCTTGTTCAGATGGTTCCTGCGTTTCCCATCTTGGGGGAATAACAAGGGATAGTGCCACAGAAAAATGCACTGTATGGTTTTCCAATTAAAAGGTCATTGTATAATTAGCAAATTGAGAAGGAAAGTAGGTATAAACAACGCTCTGTAAAAGCAGGACTAGTACTTTCAAGGGCAACTTTTCAGATTTGAACCTCTAAAAGTGCCTGGGACACTTAGCTTTGTGCCAGCAGCAGGGAGGCACCGGATGGTATGCTCTAGTAGAGGGGAGAAGAAAGGATGTTCATGACTTTGGTAACAAGTGTCACTTGTCTGGTTTTCTCATGGACTGTTAGTAACTGCTGAGACATGTCTATATACTCAGTCCTTGTGTATTCAGACACTTAATGGTGTGCTGAAAAGACTCTCCTTCAAAAAAAGGAGAATCTCAACTTTGGCTTTGATTTCTGGAAGAAGTCCAGATGATTAGAAAGCCAAACAAGACTGCTTAATGGAAATTGCAGAAGCAGGAGTTCTCATTGCAGATTGTGGAAAGTCAAAGGCAGCCCTTAGGGACTGCTTTGATACTTGCTGACCTTCAGAAATAAATGCTTTCATCAGTTTCTTTGGATTTTTTTGTTATAAGCAATCTTGTGAATATGTATAACTTTTCCCAAAACTAGCATTGATATTGAGCCACTGTAGCTGCAGAGTTGTTCCTCTTTCCTCTTTATAGGAAAAGAAAAGAAAAAGAAACCACCTTCTTCCCTGAAACACCTCCTTATCCTATTTCTGAGGAAGTAAAGGAGACCAGTCTTCCCTTGGTCTCTGAATGGTTGTCCCTCCTACCAGAGATCATAGAATATGGTGCATGTGAAGGCAAGAAGGGGTTTATAATCAGTACGTACTTCTAGATCTCAACAAGACTGAGGTATGGCTACTCTAGATCAGTCATGGGTTGGGGGGACCAACCCAAACCAACCAACCAAAAAACCCACCAACCCCACAAGCTATCCAAAAGAGGAGGGGAAAAAAAACTCTAGTCCAAATCTTAGATGAGGTCACAAAAACTCTTCTTTGGAGGCTCTTCTAGAGAAGAAGCTGAAAACTTTTATGGGGATCCCTTTGAGTAACTCTTGAAAAGTAACAATGTTCTGATAAAGAAGTTTCAGGTGTTTATTTGAGTATTCATTCATGTCCACCTACTCTGTCACTATCTTACATGAATGAACAATCACTATCAATGATTAAATTACTCCATAATACTGAGTTTAACAATCCAGTGTATTGTCATCTTTATAAAATGTGCCCAGATAAGCCAGGGACCTATGTGGGCTGTTAGGCTAGACCTACTTCTACATGTAAGAATGAAAGAATTAACCAGATGTGGGAGGTGGAAGAGGATGCATTTGCAGGTTTAACCATCTGCCCTATATATTTGCTATGAAAAAAAAAAAAGTGAGATTTAAGAAACTTCCCCTTTAGAAAGGTATACAAGAAGATGATAGAAAATAACAGTACAATTTCACTTTGGGTAATGGCTCTGATTTTATATCTGACTGTGAAGGCAAATAGGAAAGCTGACAGAAAGGAAAAATGTGCATTAGCAAGAATAATTTGGTTAGGAAGCCCCAAGAAGGCTTAGGGAGGAGAGATCTAAATTCTTTGTTTAAACATCTGGGTTTCCTGAATAAGGAGATGGAGCTGTTCTAGGCCTCAGATCTTTCCTTGTGCCCAGCCTAGCAAAGGCAGATATTGCACTGCGGTGACTCTGGCAGTGCTCAGCAGAGGCAGCAGACCTGAGATCACTTTGACTTGATGGAACTTCATTGCTACCTGTAAAAGCCCACATGTCCTGAACCAAGCACATGAGAGAGAGAGATATGTACAAACTGTGATCCACCGAGAGGCTGCATTGTCAGAAGCTGGCTTCTCTGATGTGTTCTCCAAAGCAAGCAGCAAGTCTGTAAACTTCATAACTCTAGGGAGTAAATTCTTCTCAGAGTTACACTTTTGCTAATCAAAGCACTAATTTCAAATGACAGCACTATGAGGTTTTACTGTTGACCTCTCATTCCGATTAGAGGGAGGAGTGTTGGTTTAGGCCACCAGCAGACACAGGGCCACCCATTTGCAGAGTTTGTAGGGTCAGTAAGGTTATTTCTTTAGACTTGTCAGTTGATTATTTTTTGTTTGTTTTAAAGAAAGCTTATAGCAGTCCAACAAAGGCAGCAATAAAGCAAAGATACCTTTTTAGTTCATTTTCATTTTGTTCCCTGTGCTAATACGCACGTGGGTACGTGCTGTTATACTGGTGTGATGCCCTCATGGAGATGAACTGTGTTGAGGGGTAGGAGAGGTGGAGGTACCACGCTATAGTAATACTTAGCTGAGGTAGTATTACTCTAAGCACAGAAAAGTCTTACAGCAGTCACTCGTGTCACATTCTCTTATTTAGAAAGTCCAAAGGCCAAAGCTTTTGTTTATTTTTTTTTGGGGGGGGGGGG